TCTCTCTCTCTCTCTCTCATCCAAAATTGAAGGTAACGCGAGCAAGGGGGCGCCACTACCTGGATCGTGAATGATTTCAGTTACCACCCCCTTCGGTAGCCATTGCATTCGTCGAAGTCGAGGGAACATAATCTGGTCGGACCCTTCCGATGATGGGTATAAGACTTGAAAACGAATCTTGCTAGTTGTGCTCGGATCACACGATCCATTTGCTTGCGTGTGTGCGTGTTGTTTGTGAAGGTGAGGGGAAGGTGGCGGTGGATTCGAAAATTGGAGCAGTTTCTGAATTAATTAGTACAATTGACATATAACACATGATCTTATGTGGCTGCTGAAGACACTCTTGGGGCCAATTTGATGATTAAATGTTGTGGGAGATAAGGAATCGAAGCAGACAAATTCGAAAAAAATGTTGGTCCTTGGGTGGTTGGTTGTGGCGGTGGAGGTGATTCCGGCGATGGTGGTGGTTGGGGGGATGTTGAGGCGGCGACGGTTGGTGGTGTTTTGTTGGCAACAATAGTGGTGGTTGGGGGTGAAAATAATTGAAAACAACGAAAACAAGTTTTGAAAACTTTGGCCAAGTTATAACTGAACACACCAAAAACGACAAATTTGTTGTTTTGTGTTTTTTTCATAAATTTTAAACTTGTTTTGCAAAACGCGTTTTCAAAAACAGGAAAGAGAACGCGTTTTTTATATTTTTGAAAAATCGAATACAGAAAATGACTTGAAAACGACAAAGAGAACAGGACTTTATGGTTTCAAGTTCCAAAAAATAAAAACCCAAACCTTGTTGGAATTTGTTGTATTAAATCATGAAAAAGTGACTTTTGTGTCAATTTTGACCAAATATTCGGATTTGATTCGATAGTCAAATTATGAAAATAAATAGACGAACTTGTTCTACTCGTCGAGTAGATCATCGTGGTATATTTGAAATCTCTAAACCAATTTCGGGTGAATGAGAATCATGGTCTTAAGTGTGAAGAAAAGAGAGGAAACTGGTTGGAAATTTGTCTTAAGTGTGAAGAATGAGAATCTCCGTTGCTCGTCTAGCGTTCAAGCGAGGAGTTTGTCAGTTCAGCAACAGGCTAGGGAAAGGCGAACGATAGAGTCTCCGTTTCTGACGCTCGAGCAATGCAAGGACGACGACTAACGACAGCAAAATCTGCGACCTTTAGCAAATGTTGCTGAGTTTGGAGCGCGACACTTCACTCATAACATTTACTCCTCTATAAATTAGACCATTGTGACATCCGTTTGTTAATCCTAATCCCAATGATATGCAATCATAGCATAACATTAAATTTATTTTTTCTAGCCAAAATTTTGCATAAAAAGTTGTTTTTTCCATTTTTCATAAGGAGTACAAAAATCAATCTTCGGTTCGTTGTTCTTGCGTCTGAAGTGTTACTAACACAATAAGGTTGTCGTTGTATCATGGGAGTCGATTGACATTATTTGCGGGCACCATTGCGGGGAAAATTCGATTTAATGACAAAGAGTTCAACTCTTGCCTCGACTTTACATACATTTCTTTTGGCATTGCTTTGACATTCCTTTCATTTGGTGTTTTTCAATGATATACTTACCGTTACTGATAAGTGTACCTTTACACACGTATTTTACTTTCAAAACATGGAATATTGTTGATTAATATGTTGAAATATAATTTAATTTTATATAATTTACGTTTTGCAGGACAACGTAATAAATGTAGCGGGAATAAGAAGAAACGAGTGAAAAAAGACCAAGTTGAAGGAAATGAAAGTTCATTGACCAAATTGTAAATATCAAAAAGATTACTCGGAAGGAAAAACGAGATATGAAGATGACTAGGTAAAATTGGGTTAAGGAATTAAGCATGGGTCGAAGGAGAAGTGGGAAAAGAGATCGAGGAATACGAAACTGAGTTTGGAGGATCAAAATGCAAGAATTCAGAAAATGCTTAAGCTATGCGGTCGCATAGCATTATTCAGAGAATCCAATAGCCATTTTGATTGTTCTAAGCAATCGCATCCCTCATTGCTATGTGATCGCATAATATAAAATTCTAACGTGATTTCAATTTCCTAATTTACGTCAAACTCTTATGGTAACTTCTTTCTCGACTTTTCAACCCTAAATAAACCCCCAAAAC